TACTCGAATAATGACCTAACTTGTTAACAAGTTCTTAACTAGTTATTTGATAAGACCCAACATGTTAACAAGTTGATCCGAAGCTTATTATTTTTAATCGTTTCATATCAAACTAGCAATTATGTGAGAAACTGTTAAGCCTATCAAATATTAACCATATTTAAATGAGAGATTTCTATACTATATTGTCACGGGAGCAAAATACCTAATAAAATACCTGAAAATAACCAATGTAGGATAAGAATCAGCGAGTCAAACTAGAGTACAGAGTTTTATTAACTCGAATAGGAAAATTTTCTAAATCCGCCGTCGCTTGGTTGCATGTTTTTTTATTTTTTATTTTTTTTATTTTTTTATTTTTTATATTTGGGTCATAAGCAGGGAGCATGTATTTAATTAGAAGAGGATCCTCTCTTGAGCTCAGGATGAGGATTTTTCTGACTAGCCCATTTGGGCCGTTCAAACTTAATCTAATGATTGCAATTATTATAACTTTTAAAGGGTCATCCTGTTTGGAGCTGTTGGATTAAATTTGAACAATCCAGATGGGCAGGTCAGGAGAATCCTCATCCTGAGCTCAGGAGAGGATCCTCATTGTATTTAATTTTAGGAAAACTAATGAAAAGGACTTGAAAACTTTGAGTTTTAATGATAATGACAAAATAAATGGTAAAGTGAATAGTACCAGGATTGACTTTTTAATATAAAAATATGATTTTTCGTTAAAGTAAATAGTACTGTAAGTTTTTCGTTAAAACTCTATTTAATTTTCCAATGATTCACCATTTAACTTTTCACGTGTGATTTTATATCTGAACCAGAAGAAAAGACAAACAAACATAACAAGGGCTTCAAGAGTTTGGGGACCATTTTTCCTCTGCATAGAAAAAGAGCCCATGAGGATGGGACTTGAAGCCCATGAGTTGAAATTAATTTTTCACTATTAACCCACTTAAATTTCCAATATTATTTTATTTTAATTTTCATTTCACTTATACAACATCACTTCTTTGACGTGATCTGATTACGTATCCGGTATCTCCCAATTAATTAGAGTCCAACTGTCACATGAAATGAGAAATGCTGCAACTTAGTACTAAGATTCGTGATATTTTTTTTCATTTGTAAGTTAGAGATTTTAGATTTAATTCTCATTAAAAGTGAATTTGAACTACATTATTACTAAGGCTTATCTTACTATCCAACTCCCTTAATGTAAATAATATAGTTTGTTAAAAAAAATGAGAATGTTAAGAGACTCGTTCAAAAGTGAAGCTTTCCGTGTATAATTTATCACCTCAAGTTTTGGTACAATATTCTATATATTAAAAGTTGATACGTAAATTAATATTAAACTGTGAGATGATAAAAAATTCATAAAAGCTCTCCCTTTTAAGAGAAACCCTTAACATTTCTCTATTAAAATCCCTAATTAATTAAGCTCTCCAAATTGCCAACTTACGCACATGAATGTGACGCTAAAATTAAAAAAGTAATCATATACAACTTTTGGGGTTTATTTAGTTTAGTCCAATCGCCAATCCCAAATCTTTCAAACATAAATAAATATTTGGGCAAATCGCAGACCACGTCCAACTCTAGCATTATCCGGTGAAGTATCTTACCAGACTTTTCTTCAGTATTATTTTTGGTTTGTTTATATTGTCAATGGTGATTGATTCTAAAATTTTGATTGATTCCACTTCGTGACGTATTTGTTACGTTAAATATTTAATGGATAATATTTGAGTCTTCACTAGTACGAATAGTATATCTTATTCAATATTATCGCGTCTCCGGTAGTAAGTAGTGACATATGTACTATTGATTTCTTTAAAACAAATAGATAAGTGTTATTGGTACTTTAAAATTTTCATTCTACATTCCTATTTTTCTTTCTTAATATAGAAAGTTTGGAATGTAGAATGAGATTTTTGGAGTGCTTATAAAAATTCCCAACAAATATCGTATTATTAATTTGATGCATATTTTATAGGGAATCTTAATTAAACACTTCCGATACTGTTAACTTCTAACGAAAATGACATTTTTACCTTGAAAAATCACTTCTGGTACTATTCACTTACACCTTTATTTTGTCATTTTTGTTAGTTTTCCTTCTTCTTTTTTTTTATAATAAAAATTTTAGCCAAAATGGTATCTAACATTGACATAACTCCTTACTTTGGTCCATGAGAGAGATTTAAAATCGATAAAAATGGTTCATGAGTTAGTCCACAAACAATCATGTTGGTCATTATGTAAAAAAACTCTGTCAAATACAGACCAAAGTGACTAAAAGACCCCCAATTTAATAATCAATGGATTAAATGATTTGATAAAAATTAAGAGGATATTTGTCATTTAATTCCTATTTAATAGGGACTTTTCACGTAATGACCAAAATAATTAACGGTGGACAAACTCATAGACCAAACCTATTGATTTTAAAACTTAGGAATCAAAATACAAAATTATAACAATCTCAATGATTATTATGGCCGAATAAGCCTTTATTATGTTCTAGAGCATGAAATGAACTAAACCATGAGGAATTGAATGTGGAGCAAAAGATTAGCCAAGTATCTCCTTAATCAGGTTTTTGTCGAGTCATTATAAAATAAAATAAAAAATACATATGTTGTATTATTATTGATTCATGTGACAAGATGATTTACAAATTTTGCAAAATGCTAAATTGTTATCTTGGTCTTTGATATTTATTTTTTGCCAATAAATAAAATATAAATAAATTTGCCCCAACCGGCTAAAAGGCAGGCCTAACCCCATCACCTGTACAGACGCAAATACTGGACCAAACCATGTGCAGCCCATCAAATTCTTCTGTTCACGTGCTACGTGGCACACAACCAGCATGCAAACGTAGGAAAACGCAAAACATACCTTATTGTACGGGGGGAATGAAATATTCCAGTTTCTCTTTTGCTATTTTTTGCTGGGCTGAAAATATTCCATACCATTATAAGGTTTGGAGTCCCAATCAGGGAAAAATGAACGAGAGGCTTTGAGTTAATTTTTTTAGACTTTTCAGTTAAAATAGTCACTTAAATTGGCATAATTCTTAACTTTCATCTATAAAATTCAAAATCGATATAATTGGTTTCTGAGTTTATCCACTGTCAATCACCTTAGTTTTTTCGTGAAAAATCACTGTTAAATAAAAAAAAAATGATTAAAGTACCTTCACTTTTTGTCAAATTATTTTGGCTCATGATTTATTAAATTGAGAATATTTTTGTCATTTTATTCTTATTTAAAAGGGATTTTTTCATGGAATGACCAAATTGATTGATGGTGGACAAACTCCATGACCACTTCTATCAAGTTCAAATCTCAATATCCAAAGTGATGATTTATGTTAATCTGAAAGACCATTTTGACTAAAAAAAAAATCTTTTTATATTTATTACAATCGACATACTATACTAATCTCTACTAACAAGAGTGGGAGATTGAAATTGGTATATATTGGGTTGATGCTCTAATTATCAGGACAATGAATTGCTTGTTTAAGTTCAACTTGGTATATATTGAGAGTTTGAACCAGAAATGCAATGGGTTGGAATCAATTTTAAAATGTATCAATAGGTAATTATTTACTATTAACGATTTACGTATAAGAGCATTAATCAAGTCAAAGATACGCATACCAAAGACATTTTAGGATGTCACAAACTTTCGTACCATTATCTAAAAACAATAAACCTAATAAATATCGGTAAGAAAAATGCGAGGGAGATTATTTTTTACTCTATATTTTGTGAACCATGTGATTTACAGTTGATTGTGAGATTATTTCCCACCATCAACTGTTACATCATGTGGATTATAAAATATAGTCTAAAACCTAATTTTCCTAGATTTTTTTTTAAATATTTATTAGGTTAATTGCTTATAGCTAATGATATGAAAGTGCATGACATATTAAATTGTCTCTCTTGCATCACCCTCTATTTACAATTATGTTCGACGGAATAACGGAACACATTAGTACCATATGGAAAAATTAAGAATAATATTAGCTAAAATAATTTTTCAGATCACATTTATAAATTGATGATGTAACTTTTTTTTTTTTTTTTGAACGAATGATATTATCTACATTAAGGAAGAGGAAGTGGATTTAGCCTCACAATAGGACTAACAATAATGTGGTTCAAATTCGCATTCGGTAAGAATCGAACCTAAACTATCTTTAGTTACAAGTAAAGAGAAATATCATTAGACTATGGTGATGTAACTATGTTATATGATTTACAAAATGTAATCTAAAATAATGTTATGGTGTGACATACTATGCCATTTCCTATTTTATTTCATTAGAAAGAGATTCTCTCTGAATCTCTTCCACCTAAATCCTCAAATCAAGTGGTCCAATGATGCAGCGAGATGATAAACAATAGGATCCTCACGTTCACCCTTAAAGATTCATCTGGAATCCACCAGAAAATGAGAGAATTCTGAAAGATTATTTTGATTAATATGGAATACAAAGAAGATGCCCTTAAGCAACACTTACATTGCCTATTTATTCTATTTGTGATATACCAGATTAATTGCACATATTGAATACTATTAATCATAGTGGATAACTCATGACCTCTTGGTCTTCTCCTGGCGCCTATCAAGCTGTGCTTCAAATTCCTCTGCTAAACGTTCTACGTCATTCAAATCCTTGAAATTTGATCTAATGGTTAAAATTATTATAACTTTTAAAATAATCTCATATTTTTAACCATTAAATTAAATTTTAAAGATCTATATCACTTAATCCACGTACTTAGGATGATCTCTTCCTATTTCATTTGTTAAGACCAAGCTTGGAAAACTTTCATCGAAGAGCGAACCTTCCATGCACGCGTTAAAAGCGACCCTTCGAACGTGTTCGCCTCGCCCCCAACTCCGACTGCTAGTTCTCAATAAAGGCGCACGTGTCAGCGAGACCCCAAAGGCCTTCCTCGGTTCCTCCACGTCTTACCCTTCACATCCTTGTTTTATATCTTCGCCTCCATCTCCTCCTTACTTCTCAAAAACCAGAGCCCCCAACCCACGAAATCCGAATCAAACCCGAAACTTCGCCAAATAACAAATTTCGCCGATTCAGACTAGTTTTTCGGTGACGATTTGATGTGTTGAGGCCTGAGAATTTCGGAATTTCAGATATGGCGATGGAAAATCCCCCGAATTTCAAATACATGGGGAGGAACTTCAGTGATATGAGTAACGGCGACAACTCTTCTGCTTTTAGCGAGTGTAACAGCGACCGATCCGAAGAGTTTCCGACGACGTCGTCTCAGAGCCGGCGGCTTCTGATTGCCTGCGCTTCCGACAACTCCGACGATCTGATTCAACAGCTCGTGGCCGTCCTCGAAGACGGTTCGATTGAGGAGCAGAAGCAGGCGGCGATGGAGATCAGGCTCCTCGCCAAGAACAAGTCCGAAAATCGGCTCAAAATCGCCCGAAACGGCGCGATTAAGCCGTTGATTTCGCTCCTATCGTCGACCGATCTCCAGCTCCAGGAGTACGGTGTCACCGCGATACTCAACCTTTCGCTGTGCGACGAGAACAAGGACCTCATCGCTTCGTCGGGAGCGATCAAGCCGCTTGTCCGGTCGCTCAAGACGGGACCGCTACGGCGAAAGAGAACGCCGCCTGCGCTCTGCTCCGCCTCTCGCAAATCGAAGAGAACAAAGTCGCAATTGGACGGTCGGGTGCGATTCCGCTGCTGGTGAACCTTCTGGAGTGCGGTGGTTTTCGTGGGAAGAAGGACGCGTCGACGGCTCTGTACTCGCTCTGCTCAGTCAAAGAGAACAAGATTAGAGCCGTCAAGTCGGGAATCATGAAGCCGCTGGTGGAATTGATGTCGGACTTCGGTTCGAACATGGTGGACAAGTCGGCGTACGTGCTGAGCGTCCTCGTAACGGTATCGGAGGCCCGCGCTGCGTTGGTGGAGGAAGGCGGGATTCCGGTGCTGGTGGAGATCATAGAGGTGGGGTCGCAGCGGCAGAAGGAGATATCGGTTGCGATTTTGTTGCAGATTTGCGAGCACAGTGAAGTCCACCGTAATATGGTGGCCCGCGAAGGAGCGATTCCTCCCCTCGTCGCTTTGTCTCAGTCCGGCACCAATCGCGCCAAGCAAAAGGTGAGCATTTTCCGGCACCAAAAAAAACAATCAACATTTTCCTTCCTTTTTTTTTCTCGGGGCCAATCGGTCCGTGGGCAACAACCCCCGAGTCCCTCGCTGACGTCGCATGGGCTTTTTGAAAATATTCCCCAATTTAATGGGTTTTTCTGTCTTGCGGCGTGGGCCACGTGGCATATTCTTTTTCCGATTTATACTTCTTCGCTCAAAAATAAAATGCAAAATCCAACTTCCCCTTCCCCCACAATGATGTTGATAATTTATGCCATTAGACCATGGGTAGGATCGTCATTTCGTGGTTGATTATTTCTCAGCCACTAAATTATTTTGTCGTTTTTATTATATTTTAAATAATTGGGTGATGGTTGAGTGGTTTTTTTATTGTCGTTTTGTGTGTCTTTATGGGGACAGGCGGAGACATTGACAGAGCTTCTCCGGCAACCGAGATCCGGCAACTTCGCTGCACGAGCGCCCGACGTGTCATTATAATTCGCCTCCACGTCAACACCGTGGGCCCACCACCTCGCGGATCTCCCCGGTGTAACAATGCCGGTTGCCATGTAAGATGTAATCAAAGAGTAAAAAAGAGAGAAGAAAAAACAATACCAGAAAAAAAAAAAAAAAGGAAGAAAAAAATCGAAAACTTGTAAATATCCGTGTTACGAGAGGATTTGTAAGGCTTGTGATAAAAGTATTGAATTGAGCTGAGTTTGGTTTGCCTTTTTGGAGCTTATCTTTCTTTGTATCAAAAAAAATTGAAAGAAATGTGTCTCTTGGCCTACCACTAGTGACCAGTGTGATTCTCAACAGTGCATTTAGTGTGTTATTTTATCGGTTAATATGGCAAATGTGGGAGTTGAGGAGGGAGAAAACAATATAGGAATGAAAAGTATGTTCTACTTCCCACTAAACAAAGCAAAACGAACGCTCTTTAGCAGTTGTCTTTTTCCTTTCATTGTCAGTGAAACGTTTTAGGTTCAATTATCATGAATGGTAATTTGTTCAGTTGTCAGTGAATCATTTTAAGTTCGATTATCATGAATGGTAATTTGTTATTAAATTATTATGGAGGACTTGTAATTGATAACAGAAAGAAATCTTAAAGAAAGAGATATAGATCAAGAACTTTAGAGAGAGAGAAAGTGAGAATGATATTCTTTTCTTTCTATTCGACTCTAAAGTGACTAACATAAACTATCGGATCAATGGCATCTATCACATTCCTATAGAAACTAACTTATAATTTGTTATACAATTATCATCCCCCAAAAGCTCATACAGGCTTTACCAAGCATGAGATTGGAGCAATGACAGTCAAATTGAGGTGAACACAAGTCTTTGGTTAGAATATCAGCATATTGCTCATACGAAGAAGCTGAAGTTGTAAAAATCCTAGTTGCACCTTTCTCTAACAAAATGACAATCTACTTCAATGTGTTTAGCTTTTGAGTGCAACACATGATTGGTAGTTAAACCGTAGCAGATATATTATCACAGTGTAAAACTAGTGACAGAAGAGTGAAAATCGTAAATCTACAAGTAGTTGAGTAATCCAAACCAATTATGCAGTTGCAGTAGCCATAACTCGATATTCCGCTTCAGGAAATTATCTAGAAACAGTATGTTGTTTCTTTGATGCCCAAGAAGTCAGACTAGACCCCAGCATAACAACAAAACCTATAGTAGAACGCCAATCGTTGTGACTTAACTCAAACATTGTACAGAGTAGTTTCATATTTCCTTTTATTGTATTAAAAAGAAAAAAAAAAGGAATAAAAAAGCGATGATTAATCGAGTGGAGAGGATAAAGGCAGTATGAACTCTCGAAGGGTCGCTGGTGGGAGTGGGATATTGCTTTAAGAAATCAACTAATCAAGTGTTTTTTAGTGTTTGATTTTTTTTTTAAACCACGAGCTTCGCGTGCATGAGAACGACCATGAGGAAATGAAAGTTATGTCCCAACTGTCGTTAGGAAACCACACTGGCACTGCCCAAATGTTTGGGTTTTGTCCACCTTGGTCCTCGAGACTTTATTTTCTTCCAAGTTTTTTTTTTTGGTTGAATATTTTCTTCCAAGTTAGGCCTTCAACTTTTACATGTTTGTACAAGTAGTTACTTATGTTGAAATGTTGAAAGATGCGGATATGTGGCGGGGATTCTGACCACTCGAACAAAGTTGCTCATTAACATTTGCAACGGACTTGTTGCCACCACTTCTAGCGATTGGATGTCATTCATGTTTTGCAAACTCAATTTAAAGACATTATTTGCATTCGCCACATTCCACTTATATTTTTGTTACGCTAATGTCACTTTGGAACAATCTTCTTTACAAATGATTTGGGTTTCGATTGTTTTTTTATTTTTGCAAAAAGAAAAATCAAGTCTCCGGGTAAGATCCAATCTCAAAGCGAAAGGGCTTGCAAAGGGGGCAACATATTTTTGTTAAGAATAATGTTTAACTAATTAAGGATGAGTAAGAACTCGTACTCAAAACTCTTCGTGTTCAAATTACAAAGTTTTATACTTATGATCAGAACCGTTCATATTATGAATCACTTTATAAAGATCATACATGCAAAAAATAAATTAAGACTAAAGGCCGTTTAGTCGATCTATTGTAGCAAATACATAGACGGTTCATAATGTTTTTACTATTTTCATTCATCTGTTTATATACAGTTCGATGACTACACGACCTTATTTTAGTTTATCTTTTGCAGAGGCGATATTTATGGAGTAATTTATAATATGAACAATCTGATCATAAAAAAAAAGTTCTATATATGATTTGGCAACGAACAGTTTGGAATAGGAACTCTACTCATTATTTGAGTAACCAACGATTATTTTTTTCTTAAACATGATCTCTTCAACGTGCTTGACACGTGACCGCTTTTGTCATATATTTAAGAACCAAAATGGGAATCAAAGAGTTGAGGGGCAAGTTTGCAAGAAACCTCTTTATTTATCCTAAAGTTGAGGGATGCAAAGTGTAATTTGACCTACAATTAACCTTTAATTTCGGAGCTTATTAAAATGCAATCCAAGTGCTCGCCACGTGTGCGAGTTTCTGTTAATATAGCGGTTGGTCGTTTGGTCCCATCACATGGGTCTCAGTTATGGGTCCCATTCACGACGGTTAAGTGCTAACAGCTTTGAGAAAATTAGGGTTAACTTTTGAATTATTGACACGTTGCTTGGAATATGGATATTAATTAAAGGTTTCGTGATTTTCCATTTCTTAATTTCTACTTTAGGTGCTTGACAAATAGATTGAAATTTGAGAGATAATTGAGCCGGGCTTCTAGGGTTAGGGTTTGTGAGATTCATATGCACCATGCAGTCCCCATCGCATTCGCTTGCATGTCACGATCCATGTTACAAGTTTATAGATAGTTTTTTCTTTTCTTTTCTTTTTCAAAATAATAGATTGTTATTTCAACAATTACTAGATGATTTGTCAAGAAACGATAGCGATATATCATCAATTTGAAGAAAAGTTAACTACACGAATATACAATAATTATTATATGTTGTTTGGTCTTTTAAATATGAGGCGGACCTGTGGCGTCATTTTTTTTTTCTACTCAACTTTTGACACATGTATTTTGTAAGGCTCACTACGTAATATATTTTAAGGATCCAAACCGATATCTTGTATAATATCATTCATAAATCATTCTTATAAAAAAAATAGACAAATCCAAAATCATTAAGACATTTATTTGTAGTGAAGAAAATAGATGAATACAATTCTACAAAAAAACCCTAAACTCTTAATTAAAGGATTATATGGTTTCAGATTTGAGTGATTTTTGGTACATGATATTTGAGGAATGACCCAAAAGATAGACAGTTTGCATCGTTAAAATATATTACGGGATGGGCACTATAAAAACGAGTGTAAAAATTATGCCAAAAAAAAAATGATGTCATAAATCGGCACCATAAATTTGTGTGTATATATAGGATCAAGAGACAAACATTTTGACAAATATTTTAACACTTCTTTGTAGCTTTAGATTTTATAACATTCAACGGTCTTGATTAAGAGAGATATGAAAACTTTTATCCATTAAATGACTTGGATGATGACGTGGAATAGAACTAACAATTAAAACAAAATAACTAAGAGGATTTTTTTTAATTAAAAAAGTAAATTAATTAATTGAAAAAAAAAACCCGAAGAAGGAACGAAAATGGCATGTTTGGATGCAAGTGTAGAAGCACGACCATCCCAATTGCTTCATCCAACCTCAACACTTTGACTTCCTATCACTCACACCGTCAAACTCAGCGATGTTAAAGCAACAGGTAGCAATTTCAGGTTCAAGAAGAATGTTTTGAGATTGCAAATAAGGGGAAAATGACATTATGTTTTTGCATCAAACTCTAACTCTAGACCCAGATGAAAATTCGATCAAATATAAATCATGCGGGGTTGAAACCAATGATGCTGCCAAATGCTTGCCTATGCTAGTGCTAACCATTTTTAGTCCTTTTTCTTATGTTTTGGTTTCTTGATCAATTCTAATGTTGATTAGGGTTTAAGGTTTGATTTTAATAAAAAGATCAAATGGTAGCTTATAATAGTTTTGTTTCAATCGAATCAAGAAGCATGTGGTGATATTTGCGGAATTTTCTCTCCCTTCTCATGCTCTCTTTGCCTGATTTTTATTTTTTATTTTTGTTATAATTAGGGTTCATTGTTCGATAAAAGGAAAGAAGAGTTTTCATCTAGAAGTTGCAGATCTCATTGGCAAAGAGGGAGATGGATGTTTCATGTTTTTGTTTTTCTGGTTTTTAACCTGGATATTTCAAAGTTTGATTGTTATTTGATATATCTTTTTAACTTAAAGTAGTGTTTTCCTTATTAGTTATAATCCACATCATGATCCAAGTCATTTAATGTTTAAAAGTCTCCAAATTCCTCTTAATCAAGACCGTTAGATGTTATAAGATCTAAATGCTACAAAGAAGTGTAAAAATATTTGTCAAAATCTTTGTCCCTTGATCCTAAGTGTTATATGTGAATCAATATTTGTGTATGAAAATTTGAAGTACCAACTACCAGCTAGTCAAATTAATCATAAGGATTTCAGAAGGAATATGTTATATCTAACGTATTAGAACCCATCAATCGACTTTTGAGACAGATGAGAGTCATTCTGAACAAATTAAGTTCCTACTTCTGTTAAAAAAATAATTGAAAAATGAACCAATAATAATAGGGGTAGTAAATTTCTTACTTCTCATTTTTCTTCTTATGCACTTCTTTTATTTATGTATATCAACTGATTCTCTTTTTTAATTAGTTAACTCCGCAGATTATAAAGAAGAGAATTTTAACGAAAAGCTCATAGTACTGTTCACTTTAACGAAAGACTACATTTTTACACTAAAAAGTCAATCATAATACCATTCACTTTACTCTTTATTTTGTCCTTATAGTTAAAACTCAAAGTTTTCAAGCTATTTTAATTAGTTTTCCTTATAAAGAATGATCACGAAGGGACAAAGGGGAAGTGCAAAAATCATTTCACGAATCAAAAACCTCTTCTCACCCGTTGGTGTTGACATCAACTCTGTGTGTATTTTCTTTCTCTATCCCTTTTAGGTCATTTCTCTCAAGTCATGTCTATTTAATTTGACTTGTAGACACGAAAAATACCAAGATAGAGAGGAAAGAGAACAAAAGAAGATCAACACGGAATAAGAAGACCAGGCAGTCGAGAAAGGGGATGTCGTTGGTGAAGGAGAGGCGTTGTTGGTGATGCATGCATGCAAGTTATTGATCTTCAATTTATCGAAAATATTTTTGGAATCTAAAAGAAGATGAACAAACAATGCATGCAAGTTATTGATCTTCAATTTATTGAAAATATTTTGGTGTCCAAAAGAAGATGAACAAACAATACGATAGACTACCCGAAACTAGTAAAAGATTGCACAAATAGTAAATTATGTCCATGCTTCAATAGAAACACTGTTGTTGAAGCGAAGAGTGTAAAGTTCCACATCCAAAAATCTGGCGAATTTGAATTATTGATTTTTCGTATAAGGCTCTCTATACCTATCGAACTACACATGTGATTAAGATTAAAATAAATATTAATGTTGATTAGTAGCAAGTCGTTAGATTCACTTTGAAATCTTAACAACTTGGAGACGTAATGTTTAGATTTTTTATGTTGAGGTATTCATTTATCGTCGGCAACTTTCTTAAATTCGGACAAAAGGCCAATTCTAACTTATGTCCTAACCTTTCTTGATGTATCCAATTTTAGTCAACCCACTTGATTATATGTACCTACTTTTGGTGAAGGTTTGAAACATAGAAGAAATTATTAATTTTGTCGGGAACATGACTCGGTTCACTATAAGTTTACAACACCAGTGATTAGATATTTGAAAGAAAAAAAAATTCTACCAATTGTATTATGACATTTGATGTACCGAGCACATTGAAAACTTGATCTAAAACATGAGCTCAAAGAGAAGCCAACTTGTCCCATTACATCACCATTTGTTTGCCCATTCGTTTCCTTGTGACAACGAAGCTTTCACATCACTTCACTGAGTCGTCCATCTCTATGCAGCCTAACTAATCATAAATTCCAATTTCGTTTACATACCAAAAAATAATTATGTTGGACCAACATTTTGAGAAAATTGGGAGTGACGTTCCTTTTTTTTTTTTTTCCGGTGGTTTATCTGTTTGCACCAATGGGTTCATGGGTGGCTCGAAACTGACCAGGTCTTGCTCGAGTCATCCGGGGGTGTAACGATATAGACCCTCTACTTTGCTATTTCTACCCAACCACTTTTGGCACCCAATTTTGACCACACAAAAGCTCCAGCTTATAAGATCATAATTAACTTGTGTTTTATTCAGTTTTCGACAAGTTGTTATGTATTAGTAGATGTTAATCATGATTAGTAGGTTAATTAGTTGACTTTGGTTCCTCCTCTAAGCTTCCCATCAACTTTGCACACACAAGTTACATCCTTCAATTGTCAAATGCTTAATCAAATTTGATGTGCGGGGGTAAAGAAAAAGAAAAAAAAGCTTGGTTAAAGCCATGAAATATTTTTAAATTTTGGGCAGGCGACCATCTAATTTTCTGATAATATTTTATGTTGTAATAGTTTCAGATACAAAGTCATCTTATTTTTATTGACAAATAAAAAAAATGGTTTTTTTTTTTTTTTTTTTTTAACAAACGATATTATCTACACTAACGGAGAGGGTGTGATTTTAGTCTCACAATGAGTTAGCAATAATGTGGTTCAAATTCGTCTTTGACGAAAATCAAACCTAAGACCTCTCACTTACAAGTATAGAGGAGTACTACTAGATTGTAGTACTAAGTGACCTGAACAAAATGGTGTTACATATTAAGTAATTGAAAATCAGTTTTTTTATATGCACACCAACAATTTTCATTACTGAAATATATTGGTTAGATTAATTCCTTGTATTGACCCTTTTTTTGGGTCGTGCTGTCACATACTCATTTTTACTTCTCAGACACCCTTCTCAATTTTCGATCGTCTGATTGGTTGACTTGAAGGAGATCATTGTCGAATCCCAAATGACCCCAAAATGAAATGGGAACTAATTTTCACACATCCTTTTGAGCTTATCACACAACCCCTCTTATTTAAAATCATTAAGGGAATAAATCAAATGAAGCAATCATTGAAAGTACGTGAGATGCTAAAAAGAATGTGTATCTATCGTTTTCTAATGAAAAAAGAAAAGAAAAAATAATTAGTTGTGTGGAGACTTCGGTAAAACGGTAAACCCAACAGGCTAACGCAACAATTAGAAGGCTTTCACAACCACAGCCCATGGACTGGGTTAATTTGTCTGTGGAAAGTCCAAGACTGGGCTACACATGAAGAATTACAAATAAAAGCCCAAAAGAAAAAACTAGTCTAAGAATATTAACAGGGCATGAACAAGATAATATTTTGATACAAGAAATATTGGGAGAGATGAATTTGGAACATCGAGTGTAAGAATGAATGATCTTAAGACGCTAAGTTACAAGTACCCCGCAATGAAATTGTGTTCTTTCTTCCCATTATTAGCTTCATTGGAATAAATTTTGTATATAAAGAACAAATAAGCGCAATTCGGTACAGATCATATCATCTTCTTTATAGCTCCATTCAATCTTGTAAGGACCTGATTCACATATAGTGGAGTTGCTGGTCAGTTGATTCGTGTTTACGAGGAAAAAAATAATGGGGGCGGATAACCTTACTCGTAATCTCTAGTCATCATGTATAATTTAGATAGATTGATCTAATTACTTATTGTATCAATATTTCACTTGTACTTGTTTCTTCTTATACAAATGAAACTAGGGAAATGAGAAATCTTTGGAATTTCAAGTGCATAACCACTTCAGCTCCAAATTTCTTTCGCAAATTGTTCATTTCAATTATGTTAACATCTTTCCGTTAACCAATCATATTCCTCAAAACGAAACACAATCATATTTTGGAACAAAGAGAATATATTTTAAAAAGTGAAAAGGAAAAAAGTGGATATAAGAAGTCGAGTACAATTGCAGAATTAAAGCAAAGATTCCAACGCAAAGAAGAAAAATCGTGAAGCACAAGAACAATGGAAGAAGAAAAAGAGGATTATTGGGCCATTGCCAACTGACAAAAGAAGGCTACGTCATCACGTGACATTCACGTGGAGATTCTTATCCTTCCGAAACTAGTTTCGCAGCTTTCGCACCAAAAGGACTAATGTCCACAGGTATTGGACCACGTGTCGCCATCTCCATGCTTATTGCTTGATTACCTCCCTCGCTTGACCCCGCCTCGCAGGCTCTCAGCTAGTCCTCCCCTCCGGCGGGCCCCACCTACGACGCAAGGGCGTGGCGAAGCTTCCGAGCCAGCAAACCCGGGGCGCTCAGATGGGGCAAGTGCCCTTCCGTCTCCAGAATCACCACCGTGTTCCGACCACCCAGGTGATCCCTCAGGTAGTTCGCCACCGACGCCGGCACGGACACGTCCTTCGCCGTCTGGATTATCCAGCACGGCACTCGGACCAGCCCCAAAACTCCCCTCAAATCGCTGTTGAACACGGCTCGAGACACGAAAAGCGAGATGTCGGGTCGCATGTTGAACAGGGTGCGGCTGAATTCTCGGACCGCTGTCGGGACGTCGGCCCCAACGGCCAGCGGCGCGAAGCCTTGGACCCATGCCTCGTAATTGGCCTCCATTGCCGAAAACACCTTCTCAATCTCCTCCTGCTCGAATCCTCCATGGTAATCTCGATCGTTCAGAAACCTAAATACAAAATTAAATAATTGGGTTCTTTAATTCGGATAAAAATCGAATTGGGTAATTATTAATTTGAAGAAATTTCTAGCTTTTGAGAAAGTGTGGCTTTTAATTTTACCTCGGGGAAGCGCCGATGAGTACGAGCTTGGAGAAGAGTTCGGGGCGGCGGATGGAAGCGAGGATGCCGATCATGGCAGAGACGGAGTGGCCAACATAGGCGCAGCGGTTGACGCCGAGGGCGTCGAGAATGTTGAGGAGGTCGTCGACGTAGGCGTCGAGGGTGGTGTAGCGGCGGAAGTCGAAGTAGTCCGGGTTGACGCTGCCGGCGCAGACGAGGTCGTAGAGAATGACGCGGTAGTATGGCGTGAAGTACTGAAGAACGCGCTGCCAGGCCGACTGGTCGGTGCCGAAGCCATGGGCGAAGACGACGTACTTATCGCCGGAGCCAACGACGCGGACGTTGAGAGCGTCGAGGATGGTGGTGCTGACCATGTTTGACTTTTAAATTTTTGGGGGAGGATTGAAGTCAATGGGAATTAGGTGGAGAGTGGCGAGTGGATTGTGGAGGAGTGTTGTGGTATTTATATTGGTAAGAGAGTATCAAAATCTTTGTTATGGAGGGAAGAAGATTGGCAGCATTTTGTTGGTTTGGGTGAGAATTGTGATGGAGATTGTGACAGGTTTGTTTTTGTGTGCAGTGGAGCTTTGCGTTTTATGCAGGAGTGACTGGTGAGCATATATTGTTTTAGGACAAAAGATTTCTATCATGTGTAATAAGGCTTGGAGTGTGATGGTTCTCCCACTTAGTTGGCTTTAAAGAGGTGGCTCGTGTGATTTAGACGAGAGAAATCGGTTAAGGTGGTTTGGCTATAGAGATTTCGGTTAGAAGATGCGATCACGAGACGGGGGCTCAAGTTAAAAGGGATAGAGGAAGACCTAAGAATACTTGAAGCTAACAGAATAGTTGGCAAACAGAGTGCAGTGGCGTTCTAGGATTTATATAACAAACGCTACTTAGTGGGCTAAAGTTTGGTTGTTGTTGTTTGTAATGAATATTTTTAAGTCAGAAAAAACGAATCACGTGGTGGCATCGTTGGAAGTCTCAAAAACACGAAACACCTCACTCTTTCAACTTTACGGTCTCTCACTCTTTTGTGGGTTAAATTATATGGCACATGGTCCGTTCATTCTGACTTAAAATTTTCATGTAGCACAAGAGAAATAGGAAATATCAAACCTGAAAAGAAAAAACATAAATGTGGACGGATGGCAAATTTGAAAATCACATTGTCATGAGCAGAAGCGAGAATATATAATTATGTGCGTATCTCACTCGTCAAAAGATGAAAATATACAATAATGTGAATTCTATAACGTAAACACCAAATTACACTAATATTGATTTTGAGTAGAGAAAAAAGGTAATTACCAACTAAGTTGTATGTTTAGCATGGTATTTTGTGGATAATTTCTCGCAAATATGTGTGTAGTTCAACAAAAACCAAAAGCCAACTATAATCATGAATGATATGACTCTTGATCATGTAGCAAAGGCATGCTTGTCTCTGGATAACAATTTGACATGTACCAGACCTCAAGCAACTAATCCAATTGGTAGTATTAGTTTATTCTAATCGGGGATTATCCTCATGGTGGACTTCTGATTAGAACTTGAGTTATTGGGTAATGATAAGTTTCATATGGATATTGTTGGTCAAAAGTAAACGTGAAATTAGCTAAAATGATGAAAACACAAATTTCAGTCACTGAAATAATTACTTTTTGAAATTTTGTCGAAATGTCATCAAAATCTAATTGATAACCTCATTAATATTCGATCAATATGCCGTTGTTATTTAATTTTGATTATTTTAACAAATCCTCATTTCGGCCAATTTTCCAAAGTACATCGCTTACCTACACCACACTAGCATTTTTCTATGTGGTCCAGCTTTCTGGTAGCAAAAGGTGTGAGAAAAATATGTCACAACTTGCAGAAAGAAAATTCATATGTTTTTACAGGCTTTATGGCATTGGCATATATGGCGACATCCTGATAGAGATGGCATTTTGCTCATGCACTCGAAACACAAACCTACATTTCAGAAAAGATCAATAAAAAAATATAGGGTCGTTTGACAATTATACCGCAGTGCAATGGCGAAAAAAAATTATGTTTATGCACCATGATGCGAGTTTTTTCTACCAATCTTCCTCTTCTTAACAAGTAACAATTTAACTCATTAGCGTCAATGGCAAAGGCAGCATGGGTCATTGGTTGTATGTGACATCAACAACTTAAAAAACTCCATATATATTTGTGTATTGTATTTGACCCTATGAACAGTTGGGACCAACTAAATTACAAACTTCTCCTTCTACTTCTTCTATTTGTTTTTTACCATCCTTGTCTTTCCTTTCTTTCTTCTTGTGTGCAACTCTATTGTGCACACCAAATACTTGATAAATGCCTCAGTTGACAAGCATTATCAGTTTTCAACATTACTCCATAGTTGTCCGATTGCCACCTTCAACAATCATTAAAGTTGTTTGCATATGTTAGCAAGAAAGTCTACCATGTGCTCAACAAAATGCTCCAAGCCTCCAATAAAGTTCTTTTTTGTTAAAATCGTGACACCATTATTAAAAATTCTTGATTCCGCCACAAACTAGCTAGCGTTATTCTTTGTCAGAAAAAAAAAAAATTCGAGTCATATATTAATCCATACGTAACAAAAAGGCTCTAAAGTTGTTCCAACATAGAGACTTGCCTGGCAAGCATTAATTACCCAAGTTATAGGATAAGTACAGGGAATGACAGAGTCGTGTGTACTTCTACGGAGCTCAACATCTAATTAACAAGCTTAATCATGTGCCGATCGAAGTCTTCGTCGTGTGCCACATGGCGCTTCTGTTACCCTAGATCTATTGAATGCATGCCCTAGCATAGTACAATTACTGACAGCTGAAGTGACGTACGGACACCATGCACGATAACGATGCATCGGTGGAGGACTCCTAGGTGTGAAACACATTTGTTCGTGCACGAGTTTCGCTAGGAAGGGTGCTTGGTTCGAGCACACAACTTTCTGAAGAGTTGGCATTTTGGTTGTTGTCGGCCTTCTGCTTGTCGGAATGCTGCAAGAGAAGGATACAGTTAGTTCTGAAATGTGTCTTTGTAGGCTTTAGGTGTAGACCTTGAGGCTCACAATCAAAACTAATTGAGTGCAAGGGCGTGCCACTGCCATTTCTGTATGACAAACGTAGAACAAGTGTATTTAAGCCGATTATTTGCACCCCAAGTTATTTTGACTTCTTGTTATCAAAGGATTGTGGTGGATGGGTTAAGTCTACATGAAATTCTTTTCTATGTCTTGAGACCAAGGACTTTTAGTTCGTTATCTTGTATGCTTAAAGGGTGAAGGTCCAGATCTGATTAAGTCATCAGTTTAATGTATTTCAATCTTCCTATGATGATAAAACCATTAAATGAACCATATCTGAGAACTGATGAGGCTTTGAGTCATGAAAAGACTAGAAACAACTTGAATATAAACTGGGGAATGCATTATAACACCAAATCTATTAATTGAAAGACAAAAGGAAGAGAGTCGAGCAAGATTTCACCTTGTCGGGCAAGGTGGGTCTTTTCTCTTGGCAGTTATGAAAGGATTGTATGTTACAGGGGATGACTGGAAAAGAGTTTATACATGGGAGATCGATACTACAACATTTAGAAAAAGGTAGCAGAGCTTTTACCTAGACAAAGGATGTCTTTCTAAGGAAATCTAAAGCTAAAAGGGTGCAGAGTTTGGATAAAGCACGGTCTTCTAGGTATTTGCTTAACTGAGAGGCAAGTTGTATATTTGTTTGTTTGATTGGTTGAGTGTCCTTGTCTTTGGGCTCTCTTCCTCCTTTTATTAACGAATTAGCCCGACTACTTGTAGCTTTGTTCTTGCCCGAAAGCAATTGAAGGGTAGTGACTCATCAATATTTTACTTGTATTGCCACTGAAAAGTACTTATGAGCTGAAAGTAGGTTGATTTCCATCAATTCACTTCTCTCGTAAGAACCTAGCATTAGCATTAATGGGGGAGCGCCAATTGGTCTTGAGATGGATAGTCTGAGCTTGGTGTTGAGCTCCGAGTAAAACCTCTTCTTATTGAACTCTTTTGAGCTTTCTCTCTTCTAAGCCCAAAGTTAAATATTAACCCAAACAACATTAACTAAATTCTGGATTAGAAGGGAAGATGTGCACATGAAACGGGCCTATCCGGACTGAAGTGTCTGTAACTAGCTAGGCAAGTATCACGCCTTGAGAATGACTCATGCATCAAGTTCATAGTTAATGTGATGTTTTGATGTAATAATGTAATGTTATCTGTAAGCTTTTTTTGCATGACGTTAGATTGTTAGGTAGGAACTTCTCGCGATGGTGAATTTATTTCATGCAAGTTGCTATTCAATGTTGTTGGTGATCACATGAATTATAACTAAAATAATTCTATCAACATACATTGTGGATATTACTTAGAGTCTTCCGACTCATCTTAGGAATACGAATAATGATTTTCACACGTCTATTTTTATGAGATACTGTAGATAGTACCAGAACTTTCACTTCTATCCTGCCATATGGATGAGATTGTCATGAGTGTCATGAGTGTCATGAGTCATCTGAAGCAAAGCCAGCGTCCTAGAACAATGGATGATGAACTAGTTTGATGTAGTTATATAGGGCTGGTTACAGAAGAATATGATTCAATGGGGGGTAGCCTTCAACATAAAGAAAATAATACCATATTGAATGAGAAATGTGGTCCTTCTTTTTCACGTTGCCGCATCCAAAGTCTCCTCGGACTTGATTCGAGATATGAAGTTTGGTTATGGCAAAGATCGAATGGTTAAAAAGAAATCACATATGATATTTGATCCATTGCAAGAAATAGAGAAATAACAAAAGTTGTGGATGCTATAGAGACACATGGCCAATAGGGATATTTATTATTTACTACGTGTCTAGCTCACTAGATATGTTGAATCGGGCATGTGTGTTTTATTATTTTTATACATTTATCGTGTGTCAGAAAACTGAACTATAAGTGTCAATTGTGTCGTAATCTCTATTTATCTACATATATAAATGTTAATATGTAGTAATATTAAAATTTTGCCTAAAAGCTAGTACCGGTAAACATCGAAATGGCGTGTAACTTGTTAAAACTATAACATCTTCTTCTTATTTGAGAATTTCATAGGATTCAAAGTCCTATATTTATATATATAATTTAAGTGCGTAGTTGAAGTAAAATACATAAAATCCGGTAAGAAGATGAAAAAGATCAATTACGGGAATTAAAGAGAAATTTTAGGTGACATATGATGCAGCTAATTAGCTTATCTAACTATCTATATGTATAGCCTAAGAAATAAAGTAGGGTTCCATCAATTGGATGAAGGCATGTTAGCTAGAAAGTTTTGCAGGTAAAGATATAAAAAAATTTGGGTCCCAACTCCTTTTTTTTTTTTTTTGTTTTTTTTTTTGGGTAAACGTCCC